TATATTTATGATTAAATATTTATTTTAAAGATTTGCAAACTTATGAATATATTTCTGTATAATAAATTAATAACCATGCGTGACTATTTAGGATCAAGACTTTCAAATAATTAATTGTTTGACGATAATATGCGTTGTTAATTTGTAATAAAAATAAAAATTAATACTTACCCTGAAATATTTAAAATACTTTTCAAAAACATTTGAGTTTTTATTTTAAGCATGAAATGTTTTTGAAAAGTTATTGAAACAAACGCTATATTCTGTAAATGTGTTTATATATAATATAATGCAATATTTTCAGATATGGGGTGAATTAGCCGACGAGATAAAACAAATCGATGAGTATCGAAAACTGACGTTTTACCTTCACGTCTACTACACCATACTGGAATGTAAAAAACGTGTCAACAAATCGGAAAACTGCAGTGACGATAAATGCGACGAAAATTATGAAAGTTCGATGGGCGCTTTTCGCAATTTCCTGCTCCATAGAGGTGGCGAGTTCAGTACCGAAAACGAATTTTTACCGTATTTTGCACTACCATACGTGTTCGAACCGATGCAACACCCTTCTTTTAAAAATTTGTTCAAAGTACGACACTATATTTTTTACTTATTACATATTTACGTATAGGTGCATAACATCATGTATTAGTATTATATATCACTGCAGCGTATTTAGAAAATGTTTCGAATAGTTTTTAAACGTTTTTTCATCTCAAGGAAAATCGATGGTGTGATTCGTTAAAAAAAAGATTAGAAGACTTTATTTTGGACATCGCTATTAGCACATCGGTGACATTAGTGCCCAGCAAAGAAGCGGGAAAGCGAAAATTGACAAAAAAAAAATTTAAAACGCTGTATAAGGAATACAAACCGCTAAATGGTTCGTTAATATATCATGCTACATATGCCTTTTTTTATTTTGTATCGATATAAAAATTTGATCAAAAAAATGTGTAATTTAATTTCATATAATATTAGCATTGGCTGCTGAGCTTTTGAACGCTTTGGAAAATTCAATTCGAGGACAATCRATCAATTTAGAAATTATTTTAAAAAATTGTAATGCTGTGGTGGAAAAAAACGATGACAATAAAGTTAGTGATGTTAGTGTTACTTTGTTTTTATTATCAGCCATTGATTTTTTGTATAATTATATAAATATTTTATTTTTGATAACATAATATACCTTAGCAAAATTTAGAAATTGTTGATGACCAACTCGATTTATCCATTTTTAAAATCAAACTTGAACTCCGAGATGGTAACAGTACCAAGAACAAATTACTTATCCTACAAGCTTTACGTTGGGTAAGTACGAATAAGATTATAATATAATAGGTTATATATACGATACAATTTTAATAAAATATTTTGTAGTTATTTTTAAAAAAAGATGATAATCACACAATCTCTTTGTTATGTTAATATGTGTAGCCCAGGTGATAGTAAAAAAAAAATAATCAACTTCTTTTGAACTTAAGATAATATTAACTTTAAAAGTTCTAAATTTGAACTTTCAGAGAAATGTATTGTTTATTAACAATTAATATGTAGTTKAATGTTACTAACTTAACTTAACTAAATCAAGTTTCATTTATATTTTCTCATCTTTATTTAGGATTTTTAACGCGTTAATTACATATTTCTAAATATATAATAAACATTTGTGAATCAGAAAAATTACAAAGATAGAGTATTCACTCTTAAACAATATGAAAATATCCAATTTATATATCTAATATTTTTGATAGAGGTTGACAAAATTGGAAAACAAAACCGACACGGTAGTGATGATAAAGAAATACGATCTACTGGATTTATGCAAATCTAGAGCCGAACAAGGACTAATGAAATGGCTGATGATGACAAACGGGCCACATCCGCTACAACAAATGATATCAAGACTGTTGAATGCCCTGKCGTCATTCAACAGGGGCCGCAGATATTTGGCAGGCTCTCCGTTTTTACTCCGTCTAATCATAACTCAGCTCATATCGTCACAACATTTTTGGGACACGATCACGAGCAACATGTTGTTAGGAACATTGCAGAAGCTCAGTATGGGGTAAGCCTGAACATAAATCATATAATAGCAAGACCCCTGACCCAGTAGCGTAATTAGGAATTTGGTTTGGAGGGGGGGGGGAGGAATTATATGTTTTTAGCAAAATCTGTAAGCCTCATACGGTAACCTACCCCACCAAATATAAAACGTTAGCAGTAAAATAAAAGTTTTGGGGAGCCCATCTCCCACATCCCCCCTTAATTACGCCTTGGGCAAGACCTATTGTAATATGCTAACATTTCAATTAATTAACTATTATTATTTATAATAAACTCGGTGTGAGTGTATTAGTTACGATACAGCTAAGGTGAATTTTTAAGTTCTGTATGCAGTGGCGTATTTAAGGTTTTTCCGCCTCTAGGCACTTTCCAATTCGCCGCCTTCCTCCCCCTTCAT